GTGTGTGTGTGTGCACCTGCAGAAACAAAACCGATCTCCTTATTTGGCCTGTTGGTTATGTACTGTACACGTGTTTCTTACATGGGTTGTACAATTACAGACGAATTATGGAAGTAGATTTGGTGTTGTGTGAACAGATCGACAATACTTGGATAAATGTGCAGTCTGTAAATATAAAACACCCTCCACAAATACAAAAAATAAACTAGCAAATTCACATTAACATTTTGCAAATATAAAAGGGATGGGCACGTACTATGACTTTTTATGCCTTAGTATAATTTAACTTTCTTTTGTCTTATAGACATTTTTATGCCTTACCATCCATAACGTTTTTATGCATTCCAATACTATATAGTTGTTTATGCCTTACTATAATATGACGGTTTGATGCCATGGTAAACTATAATGTTTTCATGCCTTACTATTCTATGAAGTTTTTATACCTTAATATACTATGACGTTTTTATACCTTAATATACTGTGACGTTTTTATGCCTTACTATACTATGACCTTTTTCCCGTACTGTACTATGATTTTATTATGACGTTTCTTATGACTTACTACACTATGAACTTTTTATGACTTATTGTTATATGACGCTTTTATGCCTTACTATACTATGACCTTTTTTGCCTTACTGTACTATGATTTTATTATGATGTTTCTTATGCCTTACTACACTATGAATTTTTTATGACTTATTATCATATGACGCTTTTATGCCTTACTATACTATGATGTTTTTTAAGCCTTACTATTCTATGACGTTTTTATGATGTTTTTATGCCTTACTATACTATGATGTTTTTATAGTGTTTTTTATGCCTTAATATACTATGACTTTTTAATGATGTTTTTATGCCTTACTATACTATGACGTTTTTATGCCTTACTATACTATGATGTTTTTATAGTGTTTTTTATGCCTTAATATACTATGACTTTTTAATGATGTTTTTATGCCTTACTATACTATGACGTTTTTATGCCTTACTATACTATGATGTTTTTATAGTGTTTTTTATGCCTTAATATACTATGACTTTTTAATGATGTTTTTATGCCTTACTATACTATGACGTTTTTAGGAAGTTTTTTATTCCTTTATATACGATGCAGATTTTTATGCCTTACTATACTATGACATTTTTTATGATTTACTACACTATGATGTTTTTATGCCTATGACGTTTCCTATGACTTTCTTTTGCCTTATATACATTTTTATGCCTTACTATCCATAACGTTTTTATGCATTACAATACTATGTAGTTGCCTAACTATACGATGACGTTTTTAATGATTTAATAAACAATTACTTTTTTATGACGTTTTTATGCCTTACTATACTATGATGTTTTTATGATGTTTTTATGCCTTACTATACTATGACTTTTTACAACTTTTTTATGCCTTACTACACTATGATCTTTTTTAAGCCTTACTATACTATGACGTTTATTGATGTTTTTATGCCTTAATATACTATGATGTTTGTGTAGTGTTTTTTATGCATTAATATACTATGACTTTTTAATGACGTTTTCATGCCTTACTATACTATGATGTTTTTTATGCCTCACTATACTATGACGTTTTGTGACGCTTTTATGCCTTACTATGCTATGACATTTTTATGATTTACTATGCAATGACGTTTTCGTGACGTTTTTATGCCTTACTATATTATGATGTTTTTTATGCAATATATATACTATGACATTTTTATGATGTTTTTATGCCTTACTATACTATGACGTTTTTATGCCTTACTGTACTATGATGTTTTCTATGCCTTACTATACTATGATCTTTTTTAAGCCTTACTATACTATGATGTTTTTATGATGTTGTTATAACTAACTATTCTGTGACATTTTTTTGACGTTTTTATGAATTACTATACTATGATGTTTTTATAATGTCTTTTATGCCTTACTATACTATGACGTTTTTAGGAAGTTTTTTATTCCTTAATATACGATGCGGATTTTTATGCCTTACTATACTATGATGTTTTTATGATTTTGTTATAACTTACTATTTTGTGACTTTTTTTTTTTTTACAGTTTCATGCCTTACTATACTATGACATTTTTTATGATTTACTATACTATGATGTTTTTATGCCTATGACGTTTCCTATGACTTTCTTTTGCCTTATATACGTTTTTATGCCGTACCATCCATAACGTTTTTAAGCATTACAATACTATGTAGTTGCCTAACTATACGATGACGTTTTTTATTATTTAATAAACAATTACTTTTTTATGACGTTTTTATGCCTTACTACACTATGATCTTTTTTAAGCCTTACTATACTATGACGTTTATTGATGTTTTTATGCCTTAATATACTATGATGTTTGTATAGTGTTTTTTATGCATTAATATACTATGACTTTTTAATGACGTTTTCATGCCTTACTATACTATGACGTTTTTATGCCTTACAATACTATGATTTTTTTTATGCCTCACTATACTATGATT